AATGCGCTTGACGTTATGTGCTCCGCGAGCGTGAATTCCGTAACAAGATTTCGCGATTTCCACGAGTTGTCTTGCGTTTAACCTCACGTTAAAAATCACGATATTTCTCCTTTTCGCAATCTTCTCTCCGCGTAATGCCCGTATAATTTAAAAGACGAAAAATCGATACACGTATATTCCTAAGGAAAGAGGAAGAAAGAAAGATCTAAGTGAAAGGATAGAAAGGGGGGGGGGAGAGGGGATATCGCGCGGCTGAAGCAAGTAATTTCTCATCGCAGAGTCATCGCTTCGGTATGATCGGGACCGCTCCTTTGAAAAACTGTAATTTAAAGTCCAAATTAAATTTCATGCTGCGACTCGACGAACTTTTTTTGCCGTCGACGTAACTGCCGCTGTAAGCACGCGCGCGCGGATGTTCGTATCGAGCGGGTAGCGGTTACGCCAAAATGCGCAAGAAAATATGAACGTTCATCATTCGAGCGGAACCGGAAACCCATGCGGATATATCCTCGCTACGGATTCTGCTGAGTGAGGGGCGGATATAGGGTGAGAGGGGCGGGGGAGCACGAGAGGAAAAGGCGGCGAGAGGAGCCTGAGGGAGGGAGGAGGGTTGCTTAAATCTGCGGAGTTAGGACAGGACTTACCGCCAAGACGCGGCTCGCAAATGGCGTTCAAATTAATTTCAACAAAGTTCGTAAATTATTAATACCCGCCGGGCCGGCGGCTGCTGACTCGGTTGTTCGGCTAAATGTGCTGTTTAATTAGGAAATCCGCGATTGCGGTAAGATGGGGGATTGTCAACGGTTTTATCGTCGCGACCGGCCACCATGGCGGAGCCTTTCACACGCCGACCGCCGGCCAACCGGACCGGATTGCGGATATATCTCATATCCAGTGAAACGAGCTTAAAACTATTCCGACAACGCGGTGCAACACGGCGTGGGTGTGTTGCGCCCGCACGCAATTACCCGACCCGCGGCGCGGAAGTTTCAGGAACAGCAACGGTGAAATCGTCACTATAAGAGAAATGCTTTGGAAAGCTCTTTTTTTTTGCCACAAATAAAACGCCAGCGTGAAATTGCACCGCTCGCGAATTCGAAACGTGTCAATCTCTCGGGCTTTTATTGATTATTAGTATGCAGAGAAATTTCCGGTCGCGTGCGGTGCACGCTCGCGCAGCGATTGTTGTACTCCCGCGGACAATGACTCGTCCCGAATTAGGTCTACTAAAATAAAACTAAAAGATACACATTCTGCTTTATCTAGTGAAATCATCCGAGTAGAAATTGAATACAGTAATTGTCTAGTCATGGCGTAGAAAAGTTGGGTTTTATATCGCTGCTAGCTAGTAGTACCATTGGCTCGGAATGTAACACTCACTTCTTCTAACGGCTGTACTAGAAAAATTAGCTAATAGCTAGACAAAAAATAGTACACAGTCATGAGATGAAAAGTCTCAGGTAGCCACTACCAACCAAAAACGCTTCTCTTTCCTCGTGCCAGTTATTTGGCTTCCTTTATAGACGGTGTTCAAAAGTCGATAACTTTCGTGACGGTTGCCGACTCAGATATAAAAGGCGTGCTAAGCAGTGTACAGATTAATGGGTCCGAGTTTTTCGCGCCGAGTCCTTCGCGCCGATAAATCTGTAAATTAATTAATACGGAAAGATTTATAGGTCGCATGGAGCAAGACAATGCTGAATTTCGCAGCAGTTAATGTATTTTTAATCGAATATCGTTAAACGTGGTCAACACTCTGTCTCGCCGCGCGAAGCCGCGTTGCATACCATTTTCACGACATTAGATGCCCGCAAAATCGTAATGTCCGCTCCTGCTTTCCTTTTTTCTTTTTCTCTCTCTCTCTCTCTCTCTCTTTTTTATTTTTATGGCACCCGCATTCTCCTAAGTTTCTCCACAAATATATGGCGCAACGCAATGCTCAACAATAAGAAAGCTTTAGACGGCGGTAGCCATTATGGCGCGGTATAATGCCCATTTCCAGTCCAGCATTTCCAATAATACGTCGCTGGAGAGAATTATGCATTGACGGAACGAACCAGAGGAGAAGCCAGAGGAAATTAATGGAAGACGCAATTTCTCCATTTAAGAATTAAGATCTGTCGTTAAAGGATAAACGCGTCAATGTTAGAATTGACAGGTCGGTAAAACGTTCGCCTAGTTGTTGTCAAATATATTTGTATTCCGTTGATACCTCTCGACGCCTTTTAACACATGTCGCTAGCGCATTACCGTGAGTATAAGACGGAGCGGAAATCGAGCTAAAAACGACGTTAAGGGAAGGAGGAAATAGATCTAAGGAAGAGAGGGCTCGTGCGCGCGCGCGCGCTTATGCACGACTCGTGAACGATGTTTCCAATATTCTCGCGACGCAAAGTTCGAGAGATAAGTTCACTTCTGATACAAACACTCATACAACATTCATGACCGACGACGCGGCGCGACGCATTGATACCTTGCGTCTTTTCAGTTTCAGCGCATCTCGAATCCTTGTCGCATCGACTACGCCACCTTTCCCTCTCGGGCGCACAACCGTTAAAAGCGCCGCACCGGAACTGATACAAATATCTCGTCTCGTGAGCTCGCGGGGCCAAATAAGAAGGGCTATATGTACATACATATATATATATATATATAGTATATAAGTCCACAGCGAGGGTCGTTAAGGTAGCTGCCTAGCCGATATTGCGTTACTTTTTTCCAAACTCGATAAAAGCCATTGTCGGCCTCGTGTCGGTAGCTTTAAGTTGCGGAGATTGCAGCGGGGGTGACCTTCGCCAAATGACAGTTTTATCGAATTTCTTCGTATTGTGGACACGGCAACATTTTCAAGCTGTGTATTGCGCGGCCAGACGGTGAATCACGACGACCTCCATATTCAACAATGCATTATCCGACTTGGCGGTATTTGATTACACGCGCCGCGTAGCAATATTAATTGCTACAGCAGGCTAATTCGAAGAGGCCAAGTCGATGATAAGTTAACACTTCTCGAACGCGATCGTTCGCGTAAAAAGATCTGATGCGCAAAAACGATCGCCAATAATAATAATAATAATAATAATAATACGGTATCGTGTTTGTTGTCTTATTTTTCTCGTGATTTGTTAAATGTATCTACATGTGAAGAATTTTTTTCGAAAATATAAACAATCATAAACTGGAAAAGTAGCAAATAGTCTTGCCTGGCCGAGATACATACTTACAACGTCGAAACAATTTCAATATGGGAGATTTAGAAAATAAAAAATAAACCTGTACAGATTTCCATTTACGCAGTCTCGCATCTTAAACATAGCGATATCGAAAATTTCCAATCAGGTGCATTATTTCTGAATATTTGTGTATCATGACTGCTGTTCTGGAGCATCTTTGCCAATTCACCGAATAGTCAACAGTCATAATGTACTCGGACATAATATGCTTGATTAGAAACATTCGATGTTATTACGCCTAGGAGGGAAGAGGGGAGGGAGCTGCATTAATGAAATCTTCTGTACACTAAGAGAAATCCCACGAAAACTATACTCATTTTCGGCTTCAATTATATTTCCTTATGATGTTAACCTAAAAAGCATTAGGTTGTTTGGAAATAAATTTTCGAAGGAACAACGGCGATATAAAATCTCAAACTATATTTTAGTGCTACGAATTATGGTGCTGCAAGGATATGACTAGCGATTGATTCTGCTCGTGGCGAAGAGTATCTTACTCTTGAACCTAATGGGATTAAATTCAATTGGGAGTTGTTTTCAAGCGAAATGAATCAATATAATGAGTTTTGTGGGTGTTACAAATTAATACAAATTCAATACTTTGTATTTCTATCTTTGTTTTCTTTTTTCCCCTTTTTTTTTTATGTGATCTTGTTAGCCTAATATCGGGTCTACGCATAATTCCGTAACGAAATTCCGACAGATGTCGTCCGCTTTGAATGAACGGCGCGCCCCTCCATTCCGAATTTTGCGATTGCATTATGAAACTAACGGCTTACACGTGAATGGATACTGCACTGTTTATTTACCGTGAGCGAAAACTCATAGCGTGGCGGGAATCGCGGGGAAAATATATTCACGGGGAAATATCCAAGTACACACGCTCACCTCCGCATCACCGAGGGTTGCCTAATGACGGCATTTCTTCGGGAGATTCATCTTGCGAGCGTATCTCAGCGATTCTGGCGTTAAATTACGGAAAGATTAATAACTGTCGGAAAGATTAAAGCGTAGAGACTCGAAACGAATATACGCTACAATCGCGCGATGCCGTTATACGCGGCAACGCGCGGGTTAAGATATTTATCATATTAAATAATTTCGTGCCTTGCTCCTCGTGAGATTCGCTCGATCTTAATGCCGTGTGAATGATTTATGCAGACGAAGACGAGAAATTGTAAAAATAAATATCACGGGCTTGAATGTGCGAGCCCTATGTTTACATCATGACATTTATATAATTTTTTCGCTGACGGATGGCTCGTCTTAAATTTAATCGGTATCGTTGGCGGGCTCATACCTTCCATACGTATTTGTAGTCGTGTCCTCACTACGTTCTCAGGTGCGAAATTGTGAAAAATTTGCGTCGTATATCCTAATTACCGGGACGGTAATTTTCTCACTAATGCAACTAATAAGTATGTATGATAATTATTATTGCGCTTTTGTAGTCTGCGCGATTTTCGTGTGACGTGACGGCGGCGCTCGTTTGCATATCGTAGCGAATCGTCGATACACGGCCACTTGTAATTAAAACACGAAATATTCATAATTTAACCGTGACAATGTATCTTTCGTTTGACAAAAAATAATCGTCGTAACGAAGGAAGCCGACACGTAATTTAATTAGCCTTTTCTCTCTCTCTCTCTCTCCCTCTTTCTCTTTCTCTCTTTAGCTGCATATCAATTAATTGCTTTCGTTACGTTTGCTTTTAACCGCTGACTGTTGCCGCTCGTTAAGTTCTCGTATGCTTCTTTTTGTTACAGCGTCACTCTGCGACGTGGTTTACAACAGCGATTCAACGAAGACCGGCGTAGTCATGTCACCAGCGTACCCGAATCCATATCCAACCAGGACACATTGTACATACGACTTCCAAGGAAGAGGAAAGGAACGGGTGCAGGTGGTATTCCAGGATCTGAATCTGTATCATACATCGAGCGATTCGAACGAGTACGTTTTATATATCTGTATCTTTTCTTATCGTGATTCTTAAAACACAAAGTTATCGCTGCCACGTCGATTTTTGTTGATTACACAAAACTGATGATTCAGTCATCACAAATATGGCAAATGAATGCAGTTTAGTCGCTAGAATTAAAAATATAATACCAGGTTTACAATTGTACATGCGTGTAGATTATGTTTCAATTGATATGCTGTTAAATTCTGAAGGGATTTCTATGAAAATTAATTTACGGACCGACTACTTGAAACAAACGTAGCCAAAACTCCATGATTAGTTTGTGGCTCGTTCCCCAGGTCGTAGATCTGTGGTCCAGTTGTACCATGAACTCGCGAAGTGTTTTCTCGCTAGCTGTTCTCGTCGAAAGATACACGCAGTCGCACGATCGATTTCCGACGTGATGCACGGAGGCCGGATTCATACCGCGACGCGCATTCTAAGAATACGCGCGGCATCCTAGTGTTAGTCGTACTCTTACGATACATATCATCTTGTCTAGTATCCCTAGTTCATTTTTACGACACAAAAGCCCCGTGCTGCCGCGAAGTACATAATGTATCCGTATGCGTAACAGACATCGCGCACTCCGCCTCAGAGTTACAAGTACAATCTCAAAATTTCACGAAACGTTCCGCCGTAAGAGGCTTACGGCCGCTTTATCTTATAACATATTGCGCGTCGCTTTCTACTTCTAAAAATGCCGCTCGAGCTCGAGAGAGAGGGAGAATACTGTTGTTGAAATTGTAGTTCCAATTTGGCAAATGTACGAGAAAATTGTCGTCCTGAAGATTTTTCGAATTTTTGTGATCAACGAGCATCGCTGCTCTCCCTCTCTCTCTCTCACCCTCTCTCGTTTCTTTCTAGGTCAGTGGTCATTCACCAAAATTCCCCCCTTTTGTGCACCCACACACACACACACACACATGTGTGTGTAGATACGATATATCGCTGCGCTATCACTATCGGCAACCGAGATTTTATTTAAATACGACAAAAGAGTGGCGTCCCAACTGCCGAAATTCCGACCGATCTTTCGAGGACTCTTCGAAATTCCGCAGCGGAGATCGACCGAGGGCGTTTCCCCCGGCGTGGAGGATTGAAGGGAGGACTTATCGTCATGGACGAAGAAACAGGTCGGCATCGGAAATCCCGGGGAAACTACCTGCGATACAAAGCTCGGCCGACGATTGTGCCCGCAATCGCTTATCGTCCCGCTCATTTTCCACGTGCCTGATCTTAAACACCATCTAATTAGCGTTCGCGCGTACCATTGAACTGACGTTTAAGTGGCGTTCAACTCTCTCCGCGCCATAATTGTCCGTCGGTCGTGCATTCTGGAGAGAATCAAGAGCTCCTCCTCCGCCTTCAAGATGATAGTTACGGTCAAATAAACTCCGGCAACTGGGATCGATATAACTCGCGCGCGTGTACTACAACGGCGGTCGCACTAACTCGCGGCTCACAGTATCGCTCTCGGTGCGCCGCAACTAAGTCTCAAATATAAATAGAGAAGCATTATTGGATTTGACGTATCGAGAGCTGTCGTCTTATTTGCATGGATACTTGAAACAAGTAGGTTTCCGTGGGACACTTCCTATAATTGTAGGTTCTTTATTATTTAACATATTGAAAAAGATTCCCATTTTGATTATATGATGTACCGAAATTGTAATAAAAATATTATAATTTCCACTAGTACATCATATGCTCTTAGTGGCGATCGTTAAATAAAATAATACCTAGATCGTGTAATTCAATTAACTAATCAGACTGATCTTTTCGCTTCTCTATTTATATCTAGAATTCTAGCCGTAACGCGCGCATCTCGCGGAATTATATTTGCCGGATTTCACGCGCCAAGATTTTTCGTCGCTGCGGTGTAAAATGATAATTTTCGAAGAATGTCTCTCTCATATGTCCCGCTCGCAGGGTTTCCGGCGGTATTCACCGCGCTTCTAACATTATCTCCCATTAAAATCCCCAGAGGACTCAGTATATCCCATTAAAATAATGCGCAAATATCACCGCGTCGTATCGTATTTTCGCGCAATAGATAGACGAATCATAACATACGGTGCTGCTTATAATGCATGTAGGCACAAGAGAGAGAGAGAGAGAAAGGAGTGCGTTCATATGCTAGAAGGGTTTCTTCTGAATAGAGAGGTTCCGCGCGCCAACATCTGATTTTCCTGCCCAGTTTCCTTCCAATCGTCCGAATGGATTGGTCGAAATTCTCCTCCGAGAGCGCGCATTCATGCAGTCGCCCCACACAAATTTGCTCATATACGAAATCGCTAGGCATGATCACACATAGGCCCGTCGAGTGAATAACATTCTTTTTTATGCCCCGTGGTGGTGCTCATTCGCTGTGTCTTGTAGATTGTAAATTGGCCCGCTAAAAGCCATACATTGCGGATCGTGCCCGCGAGATAATTGCATAATTATGATATTGTAATTACGGCGCGTTGAGCTTAAATGGAAGCGGTATAATGGAAGTGCTCAAGCGGCAAACGCAGGAAAGGAAACAAAATTACTTTTTAGCGAAAACGAATTCATCGCGTGGACGGGAACGCTGAATAACTTGTCTTATTGTTCCGTCATTGTTTACAATAAAAAAGGGAAAAGATAAAGAGGTCGTTTTTGCGTTCAGCGGTGCATAAAGCGCGCACTTGATTCGAAACCGCGTATCTCAAAAAATTTTTCGTCGTCGTGTATTTTCAAAGTTATTCCCTCTGACGCTCGAAACTCTCTCGTCGACCGTGTGTGTACTTTCGTAACATTATATCGCGCTACTTCTGGCTGGTAGCCTTTCATCAGCTTTCGCTGTTTTGTATCGAGTCCCACTTGGGCCATTAGTGATCCCATCAAAATTTAATGCCGTTGCAATTTACGTTTTTAATATCAGGTTTCAAAATAAGCTGAAAAATGCTTTAGAGAGAGTTCAGAAGCGCTATTTGTACCTATTTTACCGCGCAGCAGCTTTGTGAACGTGATTTTCGCTACTTCTGGAAAAGCTTTCAACGAAGTAACGCTGCGCCGCATATTCGCTGATAAATGTAACGCAGGCTCCACCGTAACCAATTTACACGCCCGGCGTCTATTGATTCCGAACGCGTACAAATATTTAATCAGAGCCCCCTTCTCTTTCCGTACACTTTCACATTACTTTGCCGGATGTATCTAACGAGTCTATCGTCGGAGCACACCAACAACTATGTGCTGTCTTTAAGATAGCTGGCCTGTAAAATCACTATCTCTTAGGAATTCTTTTAAACTTTAACCGCATATTAACGGAAATACTACTCTACGCATGTACAGTCAAAAGAGACCGTTTGAGAGCTAAGATATTTACAACTAAGGTTGACATTTTTTTCTACGTGTTCTTTGAGGTTAGTATTCTGGTTTTTATTTCTGTATTTTATTTCTTTTAAATTATATTTAGAGGATTGCAATGAAATACTATAATATTGGAAATTTATGTATGATTATGTATACATTATATACGAAAATTTCAGAATTATTGATCATCCTATTTTGAAATTCATAATTCATAATTTATTTATGATACTCAGAATGTATATATGTTTAAATATTTATATGCCTCTTTCTATTATCCGTGCATCTCTGTTGGATCAAATGATGCGTAAATAGAACGCAACTTGGAACAAGAAACATTAATATTATCGTCGTATATCTGTAATATTGTGCATAAACAGGATGGAAAATTTATATTGAGACGTCTAAATAAAAAAAAAATTAAAGCAAAATATTAAAAAATATTTCAGACAAAAGTTGTAGAGTTTGGAGAAGGACGTATTTTGATGATCTTAACTTCGTTGTATTGTCAATAATTTAAAGTCATTTCAAGGTTAATTTCATTTTTTTAATGGAATTATGTAATTTTTTAATACTTTTCAGTATAAAAGATATGAAATATTTCAGAATTCGATAGTATAATCTTAAATGGACTTGACGGCTAGTTAACCCGACTATGGAATAAATATCTAATCGGGACGCGCACCTACCTACAGCATCAAACGAAAGAAAATGATTATCTTCTAGGGGTGAATTGACTATGGTATCGTTATGATTTCTCGACAAATTGCAACGGATAATTTGCCCGCGACGGGTTGCCAGCGAGTTCTCGCGTCAAGAGTTTTCGAAGGGGATGTCCAAGCTCGAGCGTGTCAACTCGGTGTCGAGTTATCGTCTAAAGTTTGCCAGCAGCATCGTAAGCACGGAATATAAAATTGGACAATGCGCAACGTGTTGCGGTACACGCTACGGGACGAATACATCTTGATTCCTGTGTTCTAACGGGTCGAGAAATCAGAAGTGAATGGAAATACAGATCCCACTGGGTGGCGCATCTTTTGTCAAGGAAATGAAAAGTTTTTCCTATTGAATATCTTTTATAACGCATCGACGATGACGTAAGCACGAAGCGGCGCGCGAGCCGACCGAACTGGGTCAAACGCCCGAGAAGCGACGGTTAAACAAAATAATTTTTGCAAATAATTAACTTCGCACACACCAAAACGATTGTCCCGCGTGGATGGTATAATTTAGCGAGAGAGAGAAAGAGAGAGAGAGAGGGAGTATCCGACCGTAAACTCGGCGGGCATACGTACGCCGTATATCTCTCGCGTTAAACAAAATTTTCGTACGACAACGCTTTTCAGCGTTTTCTATGCCATTACATAATATGATAAAATAATCGCGCACGTTCGCATGCAAGAGACGAGAGATACTTTATCTGTGCAATTACTGTAATTATCGAAATTATGGAAATTGTTGGTTTTCCGCAATAATTATCGCGCTCGAAGGTATCAGATTTCGGTTGTTGAGCGCAGCCGTAAATACAAGTTAATTAAATAATTCATTCCACAATACGACAAGCGAAGCACGGCAAATATTCGCTCATTTCTTTTTTCTTTCTGTTACAGCTGCGAGGGAGTCGATTCGTTAATAGCATACGTGCACATAGACGGCAAGAAGGACAAGATAGACTCGTTCTGCGGGGAAACACCGCCGCGGCCCATCATGAGCAACAGTCCACGGCTTTCTTTGGAGTTTCAAGGGCTAACGTCATCCCGCCATTCAAGGGGCTTTAAAGCAACGTATTCTTTCATGGAAAGTAAGTGAATAAAAATACATTGCCTTTAATACAATTGTCGACGTAATATTTTGTGCACTTTTACGTATTGATTATAAATCTTTAAAGTTTTAATTTTAATCGTCCTAACTTAAATAAATTCCTAACCAAGAAAGAAATAAGGGAAAATATCGTGCGCAATAAATACTGGAAAATCTTTTTGGATTAGCTACCATATACTTCAACCGTTGTCAGAAATTGCATACTTTACATATTAATTTTGAAGAAACTAGACGGTCAACGTAATTCTGTCATAATATTTCTACAAATTTCTTTTATTGGCCTCTCGTTTTTCGCTGGAAATCCGCACGGAGGAAACAAATTTTGCTAGAACAGCAAATATTTGTCACTATAGTGACAGCGAAAGAAATTTATTTAGACGGCAAAAAATTGGTTCGGACAGTAGAAAGATCGAGAGTATCAATTGCTATTTGTCAAATATATGGACAATTAATACTCTTAACAAATCTTTTTGCTGTCTGAACAAATTTGATACTGCTATCACTATATTGACAAACATTTGCCGTTCTAATTTGTTTTCTCCGTGCGTAAGAGCAGTTTGTGTAAATAGCACTAATTTAGACTTCAATATTTCAGTTTAATATTTCGGCAAAGCTTCGCTTAATATGCCGTTAAGTATCGAAAAGATTTCTGAGGAGATAAATTAATGGATGAAATACCTTAGTATAACAAGAACTGTATTCCCTAGCACCGCCACGATTGATTCGCAAAGCGAATCTTTTGGAATTCCCCGAGTCGCGTTCGGGTTATCCGTATACGTGCATTGTCCCAGCGTAAATCGATCCGTCCAGATGGACGGCCGAGCATCATTGAGAATAAGTTATCGATGTAGAACGTGTTCGCGGCGTGCGAGATCAGGCCATGACGTACGATCTTATATTCGCGAACGGGCCACGATTCCGGCCTTTTCTCCCCGGGCACCTCTGTCCTGTCAAAATTTCAATTTCCGCCGAGCATTCTATCGCGATAGCAATGCGTCTCCCCTCGTTCCGCCGTTTATCACCCGCAGGTGAGCTCAGATTGTAACATACACGCGTTAGGCGGCTGCGCCGCTGGCGGAACAAATGGACGGCGAAGAGTGTGCGTTCGTCGCGCAAAGTCGGCGGAGTGCATCGGCGAAAGTTCGTGGCGGCGCGGCGATGGTGAAACGGTGGAAACCCGGAAGCGGACAATCTGTCTCAAATATCAAGCAGTGGGAGGGGGAGGGCGCAACTCCACCCTGGCGTCACTTAAAGGATGAATATCGCTCTCGATTATGCCGAGTATTTTATCGCTCTCCGGCTGCCGGCCATCGGGTAGACTGGAAAGTTCGCGCGCGCGCGCGCGCTATCGCATAATTGAAACGCAGCAAAATGGATCCTGACCTATTTGCAACGAAAGGTGGAAAGAGATACGGCGACGAAGTTCCGCGCGCGCTCCGTATTATGGAACGTTAATGGCGAGTTTGAGTTTAATTTTTACGAGCGATCCCCTCCCTTCCTGCCGTTGAAACTTGGCGGCTGAATTATCACGCCGGAGGGATGCGGGCACGCTCTCTCTCTCTCTCTCTCTCACGTTCTTCAGGGTTCACATAAATAGACCCGGGAGGATCGAGGAGGACGGCGAACGTTCTCGCAAATCGAAGTAGGCATTCGGCAATCGAACTGGAACGGACACCGAGAAGAGATTCGCCCGCGCGGGAAAGCAGACAAGCGGGTCTCACTCCCGAACTGTCACAAGCACAACGACGTTCCCGGGGACGAATCGATATGACGGGTCTCAGAAAGGACCCACCGATCCCGCGGGAATAACATTCTGTGCGCTGACTAGGACATTTCCTGAGGGAAGGCGAACGTCATCCGCGGCACTGATGCGCGCGTGTGTCAGCCGCGATACTGTTCGTCTCGCCTTAATTATGACGTCATTATAGGATGGAAATCCCGCGCCTTTTCACCATTGTGGCTCGACAATGACGGGCAAGTAATCACGTCATAACGACAAACACGCCGCTGCAAAGGCACGAATAGCCTGAGATTTATGGTGTCTACTCGCTGCAACCCGCCCTTCTTGCAATTAGTCCCTCTCGTCGCTGGTAAATTAGACGATCCCTCTCCGTCGAAAAAGCGGGATCGTCCCGCCCTGGCTCTCGCTTCGGTCGGCGTTCGCGATAACGGCGAAAATCTATTTCGTCGTTTCCAAGCATCGCAGCTTATTTCCTTGCGGCGCCATGGTCACGACGTTTCGCGCGCGCAGAAACTTATCGCTACGTCGATTCGTTTAGTCAGGAGACGAGCCCGTCGAGAGACATCGACCGGAAGTTTCGGTCGGACGAGCCAAATATCGGCGACGAACGACATATTCTTCGCGACACGGCTCGAGGGAACTCGTCGAGTGACGGATTTACGAATCCGTCCTCAGCAACGAAGTGGGACGCTGCTTTCGAAAACAACGTCGTGCTACGGCATTCGCATTTCCGTGTTTGTCTCACGCTTATATCTACATACATCAACGTTCGAAACTTACGGCCGTATTAGCGGTAACGCTTTAATGTAACCTGACGCTATGAAACTTTGCGAGCGGAGTTTCGACGCAATATTTCTGACGGACTCGACCAAGTTGATACGGGCGGGTACGTATTGTTGCACGCGGGAAGCTGGAGTTACTTCGCTGTCTCGTTCGGCTTCTCGCTCGGGGTCGCCGATCATCTATTAACCGTTTAACTTTTTTAAATGAACCTAAAGCCACGTAAGCGACAGCAAGCAGCCCGGTGGAATGGTCTTTTGATTGCAAAATCTCCGAGCAACGCGAAATATAAGTAGCGCAGGGGGGGAGGAGGGAGACGGAAAAAAAGGACGAGTCAAAGGAGCGACCCTTTAAATACCACCTTAGAATAGAGGGACCGTTTTGCATCCCGTAGAGTTATTCGAATAGTAAAACGCCGGAATCGTTATCGTTGATTACAATTGCAAAGTCGGCCCCGCGGAGGAGAGCCAGGAAGGAAGGAGACGAAGGGGGCCGAACGCACGGTGCCGAACTGCGAGAGACGGCGGGAATCTTTTGTAATGTAGATCGCGCAGCACGATTTTACGACAGTTATACCAACCCGAAAGTGTGATAAACAGCCCGCATGCAGCAACGTGCACCCGCATAGGTAGCCTAGGTATACGGCTCGAGACGCCTGTGGTAGCGTCCCGCCCACGTTAGACCGGACTTTGGGATAGTGCCGGTCGCCCGTGGAGTAACATAAATTGCCAGCTCGTATATACTTGAACATTCTTCAACGGCCGGGTATTATAAAAGTTTTCGCGAAACTTTATCAATTTTACGGATACGCCACGTGTACCGGAAAAAAATGAGCGTTTACTGCCTCTCCTCCCCTATTCTTCTCTCTCTCCTTATTTGCCTCCATCCGTTTCTATGTAGGCCAAGCAAGTACATATGTCCCACACCTGTGCTATTTTCTTCAGTTGAACCAGTGAAAGTGTCACTAATTGAATCATTAGAACAGTATTCTACCGATAATCAGTGAATATTCACTAATTTTTAATGGAAACTCTTCCACCTAACTTTTTTGACTAGTACTTCATTGACGAGTGAAAGAAATTCACTGGCTGTTACGCATCCCATAGCAGAAATACCATATATACACATATCACACGTGCATATATATATATATATATATTTAACCATGTGTCGTAGTTGCAGTATAGTAGCAGATTCAAAAATTCAAAGATTTTGAGTCCCATAGGGATGTGTTTTTCAAATACGATATAAATTAAATCAATCAAACATAATTAAAAATATTTCAGGCAAAATCCATCGACGGTATCTTGAGAGAGAGAGAGAGAGAGAGAGAGAGAGAGATTCAGATAATAAAAAAGAAGTCAGATTTTTTCGATGGAAACAATTGCTGCTATCAATAGACTTTTGTAACTTTACTGATTTATAATTCAATAATGCTTGCAACTATTATCATTAGTGACTAATAACTGTTCTCAACGATAATATACTGATTGTACTTTGGAGAATACAGTCGAACAGATGTCCAAATTCGTGCACGTATCCATCGGCCGTAAGTACGCATGAGATGTTTTGAGCGACTGCGGTGTGAATCCCCGATCTGGTCGAGACACGGCGCTCGGATGACGTTCCGTGTAAGGAATCGTCTTTCGGTTGGAAGTTCGACGATTGCGCGCCACCTTTTGACTTACAGTCTCTCAAGCGAACGCGAGTGAGCGCGCAATTTGACGCTGCCGATGAGAAGACCAGCTGTTTTATCGCGATTAATTTTTAATAGAAACTGCAGAAAGCCTTGAAACTATATCTGCGGACTAAATGTCGCGGAAATCCGATAGGATACGTGAGCAATTTTTTGATACATCCTGTGTATACTCTACGGGATTACGTATCCGCTTTCGTCGGAGAGGAGCGAGCCCGACGAGCAAAACGGAGAATTTTTCTCGTCTCGGCAACCTTGAAAAATTGATGCGGTAGGTCGCCTTGCCTAGGCTTTATCGAAGTAACGGGCAACTAAACGTACCATTTTATTGGATCCACCGGTACGCTGCCTGGATCCCTAGCCGGAACACCGTAGTCGTGCGTGAATCTCAATCGCGAAACCGCCGAAACAAAATAGGTTTCCCGTCTGCCACGTAACTCGCCGGTTACGGAGATTCGTTCGACCGACACAATCCCGGGAGTAACAGCAACCCGTGATGCTAAAGTTTGAAGCGCGCAGCATTGTCCGACAACAAACACGGCGAAATTGTTTGCTCCTTCGGTGTGCAACAGCGTGCGTAGTTATAATATCTCTACCACACTCGGTGCATAGTTACATACACAGAATTTAATACGCGCTCTGTCATGCCGAATTCGATGGTTTTTCGGAATTGGGCATTTAAACGTAAGTGTTTCGTTCATGGACGTTACCTGGCGTGTCAGGTGAATCATCGGGGCTTTTCCGGCGATCGCTGCATATTTTA